TAGTGCTAGTGAGGGCACAGAACTATCGATGAAGACAAAACTGAGCAGCCATTCTGGAAAACAGCTTCTGGATTTAAATATATAAATATAAATATAAATATAAATATATATATATATATATATATATATATATATATATATATATATATATATATATATATATTTAATAGGGTCTCACTATGTAATGCTGGCTGTCCTGGAACTCACAGAGATCTGCCTGCCTCTGCCTACTGAGTGCTGGGGTTAACCTGTGCGCCACCACGTCCAACAATGGGCTTTAAAAGAAGCATTAGTGAAAGAAAGAGAGAGGGAGAGAGAGAAAGGAAGAAAGAAAGAAAGGAAGGAAGAAAGAAAGAAAGAAGGAAAGAGAAGAGAGGACAAAATTAGAAGGAACCTAAATGTCCAAGAACTAAATGATGTGACCATGATGTGAACACAGAATGGAAAGTTGTATCTCAGCAAAAATGGTCACCTAGACAGAGCAAGGCCCTCCGCGTGAGCGACGTGCACAGAACTGGCTCTGGAAGGATGGCGTGATGGCTGCGTTTAAATGTTAAACCTCAGGCGTGGCGGCTCCTCACAGCGCTCAGAGATCCGCGCTCCGGAGAGCCTCTGCCGTCTGCGGGCGAGCTCCAGCCCACTGACCGCGGCTACACGGAGAAGCCCTGCCTCGAAATGAAAAGCAGAAAAAACGGGGTTTCCCCCCTTAAGCGAAGCGGAGGGTCCATCTTTGCGTCAGTCTCTTTGTGCGACCCAAAGATTGTGCCACCGGCAGACCCCGGGAAAGCGAGGAGAGGGCGGGGAGGGGGGGTCTAACTGGGCCTGGATCCGGACCGCGGTGTCACCGCGGCCACCCGCCCACTGTCCCAGCGTCGTTTTGGAAGCGAAGGGAAAGCGCCTCCCTGGGGAGGGCTCTCAGCCCCATCCTTCCTTTGTGTCTCCAGCCACGTGACGGCAGGGCTCCCCCACTGGGCACACAGGCGCGGGGTCGGTGGCTGCCTGCGCTCCAAAAGCTGCTCTCTCTCCCTCTCTCTTTGTCTCTGTCTGTCTCTCTGTCTCTGTCCGTCTGTCTGTCTGTCTGTCTGTCTGTCTGTCTGTCTGTCTGTCTGTCCCTGTCTCCACATGGAGCCTGGCTGCCAGAGCTGGTAACCAGGCTTCCCTCACACCAGCCGCGCTTCACACGGAGTTACCTTAGCTACTGCTCCAAAGCAGACAGGCCCAGCTACGGTCACCCGGTAGTGACTGGAACTGATGACTTGTACCTCCTTCGGCGACTTACTAGTCCCGTGTAAGATCTGGCTTTCCTCTCCATAAAGTTGGTGCATAATTGGTGAAGGGAACTGGGGGTCGGAGGACAGGTCCCAAACAGGGTGTGTGTGTGTGTGTGTGTGTGTGTGTGTGTGTGTGTGAGATGAGACTAGAAATGGTTTTTCTTTTGATTACTGAGATTTCCAAATGTTTTGTGTTCTAACAAATACATATTTTGTTTCTTTGTTTGTTCTTTGTTGGGGTGAGTGTTGTTCGCTTTTTGTTTTTCCAGACAGGGTTTCTCTGTGTAACCATGGTTACCCTGGAACTCACTCTGTAGAGCAGGCTCCTCTGAAACTCAAAGATAAGCTTGCCCAGCGCTGAGATTCAAGGTGTGCAGCCCAACCCCCGGCTCCTTTTTTTTTTTTTAAGATAAGGTCTTGCTGTGTAAGCCTAGCTGACTTAGAATTTGTGGCAATCCTCCTGCTTCTACCTCCCAAGTGCTGGTGTTATGAGGGCATACCACTAGGCTCGCTGATTTTTCCTCTTGGATGAAGAGAACACCACTGTGCAGGCTGATGGGAGGAGCAAAGAGACGGTGAAAAAGACGAGCACAGGTGGTAGACCACAGTTGGGTCTCTGGGGGCGAAGGTTCCCCTCCACCCTTCTCTCTATACTCTCACGGACTCTCCTTCCCTTCTGGAAAGACTGAGAGACCTGGGTCCACAAACTTGGGCTTGGGAGGAGAAATGGGAAGGAGCTCAGATGGCCGCTGGCCACGTGGCTTTGGGAAAGTCGCTTAACCTTCGAGAAACTCAGTCACTTTGTCTGCAAAAGGGGAAAATAGGCGCCTAACTCAAAATCCGCTTTCGGGTTGGCAAGGCGGCTCAGAGGCCCAAGGTGCCTGCCACCAGACCTAACAACGCCTGCCACCAGGCCTAACAACATGCCTTTCAGCCCCACGTGATGGAAGGCTAGAACAGCGTGGCCCATGAGCGTGCGCACACACACATATAAACACGCCCTGATTTTCACGGGATGAGAGAGTGCCTGGCCACTGATAGGTGAGGAAGAAATGTCTGTAGGAAAATATTGTGAAGGAACTTAACAGGTGCAAGAAGGGGACGAACATTAAGCGCGGAGCTAAGCCAGAGAAAGAGGAGGATTTTAACCTAGGATCTCCAGCGCCGAACCCTTGGCTGTCTGCAAAGGGTGAGAACAGTTGCATCCTTGTTAGTACTGGCCCCCAGCTGGACCTCAGGGCTTCCTCCCAGAACAAGTGACAAAACACGAGCACGAGGATAGTACCTGAACTTTGTCACTACAGAAATGACCCCAAAATCATAGTGCTTTGTAGACTCATTTCTCAATCTTTTGACATTTTAAAGAGCAGGATTAAATTTCGACTCAATGCAACGGACAGACTTTATGATCCTAAATAGTTTCTTCCTTGCAGTTAAAAGCATCACTGTTAATAGCGGCCCGTCCACTTCATCAAGAATGTAAAGGGACTCTTGGCTGGACCGTCATGGCAGCACTCCGGTTGGGCCCCTGATGTGTGACATGGTGCTTGCTTCTCTCAGGGACGTTAATCCTTCCTTTGGGTTACTAGGAGAGAGAAATGAATTCTTGGCTGGAAAAGGGCCTGGGGAATTGCCTTCTCAGGCTTGCCCGCTGACCATGACCCACAGAGGCCTCACTCCTTCCCAAAGGATTCCTCCCCCGACCCCTTCCTCTGGTAGACAGGGGTCAAGATGCCTTCACTGGAGTAGCCGACAGCTCCAGTCTTCGGGGATCACAGCTCAGGAGAAGGGTTTTCTGGGAATAACAGTTCCTCCTGGTTTTGCGGTGCGGGTGGCCAACCTGGACCTTGTGCATGCCAGGCAGATGATCTACCATTAGGCCGTACTCCAGGCCAAAGGCACGTGCTTGTTCATTTTTGAAATGCCAGGCTTGCCTTAAACTCCTGGGCACGAGCAATCCTCCCACCTCAGCCTGCTGAGTTGCTGTGACTCCTGGCACACGCCATCACGTCTTTTTTGTTAGCTTCACGGTGACTCTTAAAGGCATTCCGCTCTCAAAATCCTTCCCCGTTCCCTTGCTTGGGGCCCCTTTGTGTCTACAATCCCTGCGTTCCCCCTTGGCCTCCCAGTCCTGTGCTGGCTCCTCCACTGATCCCTCCCTGAGATTCCTGATTCCTCCACCAAACTGTTTCTCAAGGACGGCCCAGATCTGACCCCTTCAGGTGCCCAGGTCACAGGCTGCGTACACAACGCCATCTGTGTACCTGCCTTAGAGGACAAAGGGAAGGAAGCATAGGGAGAGGCAGGGAGGGGTCCTTTAAGCTCACATCAGACTCCTTCAGATCCATGATTACACACACACACACACACACACACACACACACACACACGCCCCTCTATTTCCTACTGTCCACATCTGTGAAAACAGAGAGCTCAGGCTCTGAGGAACTGGGTAAGTCCTTGAGGATCTTCTCCCCACTCTCTCAGGATACATTGGGGAAACCAAGTCTCTGGAAGCACCTTCAGACAGGAATGAGAACATGGCTCTTGTAGTCTGGGAAGAAGCTGTGGAGGTTGACAGAGCCGAATTGAGGTGGGGGAAAGGCTTATGCCTGAGACAACTGCCCCATTGTGCTTGGCCTGTGGCAGAGAGGTCTACTAGGGGTTGCATAAACACTGTGGGTGAACCAGGGAGCAGGACAGGAAAGGTAAAGAGGCTAGACGCGAAGATTTTTAAAAAGATCACTGAAGAGTAGCGCGTGGTGGCACATCCCAGCGTTTGGGAGCTGGAGGCAGGGTCACCAAGCCATCAAGGCCAGGGTGGAATACACGAGGCCCAGGGGGAAGGGGGAGTCTGCAGCTGGGTCGTCACCCCAAGGGCTCAGGCGTCTCTGGTCCTCAGCTGCCGTCTACACAATGAAAACCCCTGGTCCTGCCCTGCGGGTTAGGTGGAGCAGAGCGCCGCTCGGCCCACATCCCGCGGAGCGCACACCCGCCCGGGGAAGCGAGCGCGCTGGCGCCCGGCAGGGTGGTGGCACCTCGCGCGGGCGAGGGCCTCCAACCTCCACCGCGCCTCTTCGGCCGTGTCGCGTGGCTGCGTCTCGGCGGCCGGGGGGCGGGAGGGGGCGGCTCCCGGGCCGGATCGGGTCCCCGCGCCCCCGCGCGCCCGCGCACCTGGCCACCCCGGGGGGCCCCGTCCTCCCCGCGCGCCCCCGCGCCCGCGCCGCCCCGGCGCG